TTTTTTTTTTTTTTTTTTTGATAATTTACTTTTTATTTCTGCATAAAGTTTTTCATAATTTTTATAAAATTATTTTTCCAGTACTTATTCCCAGATTCAATCAAAAAGGTTTATGTAATTAATGCTCCTAGTGTGGTCGACTTGCTTTTCAGTATGGCAAAACAGGTGCTTACTAAAGTGAGTCAAAGTGAAATACGCTGTTAAGTATCGGATGAAATAAATTTGCAAAGAAGAATGAATTTTGGTTTAATAATCAAAATGCTTGGCGTGCGCAAAATTTTTTAAATTGCAGGTTTTTTGATATTATCCCAAGTTTTTAAACTAATTTTGAATATTGAAATCTAATTTAGAAAAATTCTTTGATATTACTTTTTATTGGTAATTGTGATTGCTTTCCAGAAAATGATTGAAAATGTAGAATTTCTTGGTAGTGATTGGAAGCAGCGGTTGAAAGATGAACTAGGAGAAGAAAATATTTTCAGACACTGGGGTGGTACAAAGAAGGCTACAAAAGAAACAGGTACAATACGTATGGGAGGCGATATACCTCCTCATTTAAGGTGATTTTTTCAAGTTATAGCTTATGTATTTTGATTTATAGAAATGGTTAAAAAATTTCTTTTTGCATGTAAGTAAAATTTCAGTATATAGTCAGTTAGCATTCCATGTTTAGGGTCGAAATCTCAAAGAGTTTCAAGACAGTTCCTGCTGAGCAATTAATAAAAGCAACGATTCCAGCTGGTGGAACTGTAAAAGTTCCAGTTAATGTCTTACATTCAAACTCAGTATTGGAGTGGTTTTTTACCATTAGTAAGGGAGATATTGACTTCAAAATTACTTTTTGTGAGCATGAGGTATAATTATTATCAGTACTTCATAAATTTTCACATTTTTGCTGTATTACTATTCTTGAGTATATTTAAAATCTGAGGTCATAGTGACCTCTGTATTGATAGACTGTTCTTCTACTCCATTCTAAAGTAAGGTATTTGAGTGTTAATTAGATCGTTTGCTGTAAAGTTTTTTATGCTGTTAACGAAAATCGTAATTTTTTTGTGTCATGCTCAGGTTTCAAAAGCACATTTCATTATTTATTTTTCTGAAAATGCATTTTATTAGCTTGTTATCGCACGTTATATATAGAAATTTTTTATCAGCTTGGATCACTATATTTATTTTGCTTCCGAAAAACAGTAATAGAAATCGTTACATTTCTGATTTTTTTTGCTACTAGGTATTTGAATAAAAGTTTCATGAAAGGCGATCATGCACAATCCTGAAACTTTGAAGTTAATGGAGACTTTACAGAACTAAAAATAACATGATATCTCTTTTGATTTTCAGATTTGGCCGAATTTTCGTTTGTCGACTGAATTTGTCCCTGAATATGGTGAAATGCTATGTGCTCAAACAGGAACATATATCATTCATTTTACTAGTCCTGCAAAATTGCTGAGTAAAATAATTTCGTACAATGTTGTGCTGAAATTCCGGAAAAATGCATTGCAAGAAGGTCTGCCAGTATCATCCCTTTCTTTTTCTCCTGGTCCAGTTAAGTATTGCGAATGTAACTGATAAGTAGTGCTCTATATGGGTAAGAATTTGAACGCTCTTTAATTAATATAATTTTCTCTTTAACTAATGTAATTTTTATCTTTAACTAAAGTAATTTTTATATTTGGGGACTTTTTGTTTTTAGTAATTTGCAATTTGTTCTAAAATCATAGATTTTCAAATACTGAGTTCAGTCGTTGGTCGAATTTTTACTTCTTAATTTTTGTCGGTCCATATGTTTGTCAGAGAAAGTTGTGTGCCTCAAATAATATAAAAATTATATATAACTAAAATGGAAAGTTTTTAGATTGGGTCCAAATAAGAAAGGAAAAATAGCTGTGCTCAGGGTTTTCGGGAATTTGCTATTCAGGGATTCTGTGATGAATTTGATTATTCATAAAAAATGTTAATCAATAACAAATGTAATGCGTTGATATTATCATTTTTGTCTCTGTTAATATTTCTGCTTGTTTATGGTAAATCTAATTTATTAAACTATGTCGTATCCAAGATAGATTAATTGATAGGCCAGTCTTCATTACCGGTTGAACGATGCATTCGGTGGAGTTTAGCAGTGATATCCAGTGAAGTGTATAAATCGGGATAATTCTGTAAAAAGCAATGTCATTATGTGAGCTGATTTGAAACAAAGTTCTAGAATATCTAAACATGAATATGAAAAACAATAATTAGTTTTGGATTTCTAATAAGTAGTGAGATACCAAGCGCATGTCAGATGCAATTCGAGGAAGGAGAGTGGGACGTGATACTGGTTCTTGTGTGCTCTTGGAAGTATCTAAATTTTTTGATCGAATTGATAGAAATGCCTGTTTAGCCTGAAAAAAAGATGGAATGCTCATTTGATTTTGTATAACTGAAAGCATAAATAATATAATTCAATTCCAAGGATCTAAAATAAACGAGATGGAGTGGCTATTGTATTTTGGAGATAAGTATTGCTTGAATAAGCCTTTAAGGTAAATAGTTTGTTTATCTGTTAATAAAATGTTCAACTACTTTATAAACAGTGTTGAAGCTAGACCATCCTCGAAGGGAAGCACTCAAATGTATTAAAGCCAATTGTCGATGCATTCGTTGCAACATATGTAACTTTTCGCGTCTTAATAATCTAAAAATTTTTATTCAAATATCTAGTATGTCAGTGGGACAGACAAAACTTGTGAAGAAGTAGAAGTTAGTATGTTTTGGTTAATAAGCATTCGATAATGCTAGTAATAATTGGTATATTTAAATGAAGACATTAGATAGGATAAATTAATATTTAATGGACTTAATACTAATTACCTCACAAAGTATATTATGTGGCAAAGTAATTTGTTTGAGTAATCTCAGAGGGAATAATTAAATATGCTATTTTAAGTTTTTATTCTTGCAGTCTTAGCATGATTTCGATTCATTTCTTTTATGCTTAATTAAAAAAACAAGCTTTTACAAAAATTTTTTTTACATGAGCATTTTTATTATGCCTTTATTAAAATATACTTTACTCACTGAAAATTACAATAAATTCTGAATTTTCCATTGTCTACAACAAGTTCACATCAATTTTTTACATATTAGATGTAATTTGTTATTTAAATTCAAATATGATTTTGTGAGCAATCAAATTTTATAGCATTGTTGTAAATTTTGTACTTTGAACAATTGTTGCGTCCATTTCTGAGTGCCAAATCTTCCGCTGTGAAACCCATCATATTTTTAGCTTGAAAAACATTAAAACTCCATTGTCTGGTTAATTCCGATACCAGTTTGCCTACTACATTTGTTTGATCATGAATTACAGCATACATTAATGCTGTATTACCAAGTCGATCCGCTGCTGCCAAGTTTACTTTTGACTGCAAAATATAATATTAACTTGAGTATATACATATATATTTATATATATATAATTAATTCCAGATTCATTATTATTATTGTTAATTATTTTGCAAATTAATTATTGATGTAAAAATTAATAAAAATTTGTTAAACTCTAATTGCAACACTATCCTTCTGAATAAAATTAGTTTCGAGAAATAAAAGCTTTGACATTAATTAAAAATTGTGCCACAGTTCCGTTACGAAGTATGCAAGCCATCATAAGTGGCGTACGTAATCGACGCTTATCAGGTTCGGAAGGATCACATCCTGCACGAATTAACATATCCAAGTAATGAATCTTAAAACTTTGATGCATTTAATATTTAATTTATTCTTGCAAAAGTTTTTTTCTTGATTTATTTGCTTAAAAATTTCTATCATAATTATTAAGCGTCATATTTATCATTTCTATCATTAATTAAAAAATTTTTTGCTTATTTTTAAATCAATCCATTTTCTTGAATTTTATTAATTGGTTTTACAGTAAAATGAAAAAAATGGCGAAAGCTTAAAATAGAAAACGATTAATTGAAAATTTATCGTGAGACTTTTACTAATATCAATTTATGAAAAATATTATTTAAAAGTTATCCCGTGAGAATTTGACGTGCATCAAAGAAATAAATTATCATAAAATTTTATTTTTGCAAAAAATCTCAGATAATAACTTTTTTGAAAAATGATACTTAAAATAGTTTACTTGTTTATTAACGTCTGAAATACTTGTTACTGTAGCATATACCAGGGATTGACCACTGCTATTCATTTCGTTTGGATCAAATTTTAATAAAACTTTTTGTAGTTTTGCTGGCAGATCAGCAGCTCCCTGAAACTTTGTAATATTTGATCAGATCGAAAAGTTTTGAACTTCCAGTGATTGATTCAAGAAAGAAACTTAATTTCTAAATTCACTGATTAACTCGAATTCAATCATTCCAGATTTACTGCATTTTTAAATAAATATAATGTAAATATGCTTTTCCTGTCAGTAGACAAAATCGGATTCGCAATTTTTAGAGAAAATTTGAGATATATTTTAAAGATTCTTAGATACGCTTAAAACTGACATGTTTACATTTCTAACAGGCATCAATAATTTAAATAACAATTATAGTAACAGCCAGAATCTCATTTGTTGAAGCTGACATTACAATTTATAAAAATTAAACAAACATTATTGCATTTTATGTCATTTGAATAAAAATATCCATCAATTGCAAATAATAATCAATCAGTAGTACTGCTGTGCTACAAGTAGTAATCACTAAAAACTATCGGTGTAACCTTACGTAAATCTTAATTTTGCGTACGTGATGGAAAAAAAATACCTGATGGAAAATATTTCGCATTTTAATAGTATCTATACGTGCATTAAGCCATCGTTCATTTTCTGCACTGATCATTTTCGATCTAAAACCAGTATGTAAACTTTTTTGATTATCATCAAAAAAGTTGACATATTGATAAAAAACGTAGTCAACTTCAGTTCTATTATTTTTATTAGTATTTTAAATCAATTCAAAAATTTTTACAAATTAATCAGTGCTTTTTAAAGTTTTATCCATTATATTTAATAAAAAACTCACGTATGTTTATAATTTTTAGCACTGTTTTTGATTCATATTTGAATACTAATTAAACGAGTCATGCATAGTTTTTAATTTTAATACTACATATTTATTAAATAAAATTTAAACAAATAATATAATTGTATTAATT